CTGGCTCGTACTATAGCCAAAGAGGGGTTCGAGAAAATTAGTAAGGGAACCAACCCCATCGAATTCAGACGTGGTGTGATGCTTGCTGTCGATGCTACTGTTGCGGAGCTCAAGAGTATGTCCAAACCAGTTACTACTCCTGAGGAGATCGCGCAGGTTGCCACTATTTCAGCAAATGGGGATGTCAAGATTGGCGAACTTATTTCTAGTGCCATGAAGAGGGTCGGCAACGATGGTACTATCACAGTGAAGGTGAGTCGTATTTGTCACTGAGCTTTGTTCAGGATGGAAAAACTCTCCACGATGAGATTGAGTATATTGAAGGCATGAAGTTCGATCGTGGTTTTATATCTCCTTATTTCATAAACACAGAGAAAGGGGCTCGGTGCGAATTTCAGGATGCCTACGTACTTTTATCTGAAAAGAAGGTTAATAACATCCAAGTTCTGATTCCTGCGCTTGAATTATGTCATCAGAAGAAAAAGCCCTTATTGATAATCGCTGAAGATGTCGAGGGTGAGGCTCTCACTGCCCTTGTCCTTAATCGTTTGAAACTTGGTCTCCAAGTGTGCGCTGTCAAGGCTCCCGGATTCGGTGATAATAGAAAGAACACCCTTCGCGACATGGCTGTAGCTACTGGAGGTGTCGTAAGTTGCTTTAAAATTCACATTCTTTAGGTATTTGGCGATGAAGCAGATATGTATAAACTCGAAGATGTTCAAATTCAGGACCTTGGTCGCGCCGGGGAGGTTACTGTTACCAAAGACGACTGTCTTCTTATGAGGGGTCGCGGTCAAAAAAAGGACATTGATCTTAGAATCCAGCAAATAAAGGATGAAATCGAACTGTCGAATAGTGAGTATGAAAAGGAAAAAATGCAAGAAAGGCTGTCAAAGCTTGCAAATGGCGTCGCCGTTATCAAAGTAGGGGGAAGCAGTGAGGTCGAGGTGGGTGAAAAAAAAGATCGCTACACTGATGCTCTAAATGCAACTCGTGCTGCTGTTGAGGAAGGCATTGTCCCCGGTGGTGGTACTGCTCTCTTACGATGTATAAAAGTACTGGACAAGCTCCAGGTTCGAAATGACGATCAAAGAATTGGTAAGCTCACGGCTGGCTAACCATTATCACTTCGGCTCGAAGGTTAGCTAGCACACCATTAGTAATGGGTCTGGTCAGTCCTAATGTCTAGCGCTTAATACCCGACTTTTAGCCTGTTTGATCCACTTAAGTCTTATTGCTTTCGTAGGGGGCCTATTCTATTAATTATACTCGGTGCCTAGTGTTCCTTGTCTCCAGACAAGAGTCGAAGTGCACCAAAAATTCTGTTCTGCTTAGTCAAGCCGAACACACATGTCCGATTACTGACGTATTCTGCCCAAATCTAAACAGAATGGACAAATTGTTTTCCTGATTAACTCCTGTCTAGCGAATCTCCAACCTCTTGTTCTGTCGCATAGACCGGTCCTTTCCTCTCCACTCATCCTCTGAAGCTCTTGCAAAAAAAATGACTCGGGCAGAATTGGGTTTATTCCTTGCTTGACCTCATTCTCTCACCATTGCCACTGGCCCTAGTCGAAGTGGTGGCGCCTCTGCGCCACCATCAATGTGGTGCCGAAATTTATGCTGGATTTGGTCGCTCTCATTTGTTGAGGTGCATTACCCGTCTCGCAAAGACACGATGAATGTCTTCCATGAGCCGGCACTCACCCTGCCGTTCGTAAGGAAGAGAAATCTAATTGATCTAAATGGCTTAATCTATGCCCTGGATTAAACATGACCATTGGTCTATTTGTGTGTTGGTCTTATCCACTTTTTTATATTCACTGTTGCCAATTAACTTTCAGGCGTCAGAATTGTCCGGCAATCTCTGATGACTCCCGCCTTGACAATAGCAAGCAATGCTGGTGTAAACGCCTCAGTCGTGGTGGAGAAAATAATGGCTGGCGAAGGGAACTACGGTTACGATGCCATGAACGACGTATTTTGCGACTTGATCGAGGTCGGTATAATTGATCCAACCAAGGTCGTCCGCACAGCCCTCGTAGATGCCGCAGGAGTTGCTTCCCTACTGACGACAGCGGAGGCCGTTGTTACTGACCTTCCTAAGGAAGAGTCTACCGCTCCTGGGATGGCCGGTGCCGGCATGGGTGGCATGGGCGGAATGGGGGGCATGGGAGGCATGGGAATGATGTGATTTATTTTACTGCCAAGCCCGATCTGCATTTCTCATCCTTTGTTTATAGCCACTATTTTTCTTACTTTAGCGCTAGCCTTTAAATAAAATTTTCGAGGCATCCGACTTTCTCTTAATTTCGTTTGGTGCGCGCGCCACAATCGCTCATCGAGCCTCCGTCCGCTTCGAACCTATTAGTGAGTTCAGTCTGTTTCGATAGTAGCCTTGGTTACTCTAGCTGGGCATGGAGAAAATGAGCGTTTGGTTGGTGATCTTTAATGTACGATATGGTTGTTATGGCCCTCCCTAGTTAGGAGCTGTGTTAAAACCGAACAATCCGGTCTTCGTAGCCGCTCTTTTGGCAAATAGGTTTTCTGTTTCCGGTGCTCCGAGCTGTTGCTGCAGTTGAAAGGCGCCTAATGAGGGATTGACTGCAGACACTACTGCAGCAGTCAAGCCCGAAGGGCCGGTTCCGGGAAATCCTGTAACAGTTGCTGGATTGGTGCCCAGGCAAAAGCCCGGGGTTATCGAGGACTGGAGAGTTGTGCCGGGTTGTGCTGTCGCTAACGGGCTTCCGATAGAGAAGGTGGGATTAATGAGACCGGTTAGACCAGGGTTGCCTTGGCTCCCGGAAAGTGTTGCCAATGATGAGGGGATTGTTCCCGCACCGAAGAAGCCACCTGAATGGGAAATGTAAA